GCAACGTCCTTCACACTCGTCGAGTAGCACGATCGAGTTTGATGCGCCGCGGCAATCCAAGTGAAAAAGAAATTGGCAATGAATGTCCCTCGCTCTCCACCCCCGGCATCGATCGTCTGGCATCGAGCCTGGCCGAATAGAAAAACACGGCGGTCCGTCTTACCTATTCCCGTGGTTGCGCCGCGCTCATCCCTTGAACTTGCGACGCGTTCACGGATCTTGCGACCACTGACAAAGTTTCCCACTTTCTTTCCTCTACTTCCTACCACCTAGCACTCGGTTTCTCCTCTTGGCTATCCTCAGCAAGCTACGTGCCGAGTCCGCACGCAATGATACAATTTGTCACTCGCGAACGATCCGTTTAGAGAAGAATCTGATCGAGCTACCACCCTTATCCTTTATCCTGGTTTCTTCTTTTCCAAACACACGCGAATTCAATGACACGAGACACACTACGTTCTTCTCTCTACTTGTTACCCCGTAGGTCTCCCAACGATCGACGTGATTTGATAGAATCCATTAAGCTTGGTGAAATCTGGAAACACACTATTTGGATCACCTAGGTGTTCTTCAGCACCTGGACGCCACACAGTCCGCGATCTTAGCTGCTCACTTGTCGTCGCGCGGGCCCTCGTGCCCCGGCCCGTCGCTAATTAATCTCGAACACGAGCACGATAACAGGAGTCCTCCGGGGTGTTTTAATTAGTACCGAAAACTATATGTCGTTCGCACGACGCTCGCACTTGACCTTCCTCGCGGGAGATTTAATTGAAACCCCCTCGAGAGCGAGCCGTGACGGTTACGCGTAAATGCGTTGATTAACCGTGAACGCGTATCTCGCATGTTCGGCGACCGTCAACTGGCATCACAGACCGAACGGTGTTGCGGGCTGTCCAGTGGCAAGGATTTCGATCGTGGATCGCGCGAAACCGAATCTCACTGAAGCGTCGCTGATCGGGGCCGTAGCTCGATGTTGCTTGATATGTGCCTTCCAACAAGTGTTATCTATGAAGTCACTAAACCGAACACTGAAACCCTTCCAGCGAAGACGACACACTGATCTCAAGGAGTTTGCGATGGTTTTCTCGCGCTGCTCTTAATATCCAAGATTTCAAAGGTTAGTATGAACCGCGCAAGCAGAAACGAGTTCACCAACTCACTACAGATTCCGCGTCGATTATAGTGGAACGTTTCGACGATTGTCGCATTGACAACACACACTTCCGTTTAGATGAGCCGAGACGTTTGCGAACAACGGTTAGAGAAGAAATCCTCAATCACGGTGACTCGTCCGCGTACGCGGGTCCAGTCATCCCGTGGCTGATTTCTGTGACAGTAATATCGTGTTATCCTCGAATAAACGAATAAACCTGCTCCGGTCACCGAGAGAAAATATCCCCTGAGAAGAGCGCGCGTGTATACCCGTACTTGTGTATAGGTAACGGCTGCGGGGCGAGATCCGACCGTGTCGCGGTGCGATAGCGAACTGACGTCCTGACGGTTGCAGCGCCCCAACGGCGGTCGTCCAACGAACCATCCGCCACCGTTTCACCGCAGGGGACCCGTCACCCATCCCCTCGCCAACGCCGTTCCCACCCCTTCCGTGCCCCACTACACCTGAAGCTTCTATTCGCGGCCGGGCTGTTGTGCCCTGCACACGCGAAACTCTCGAAGCTCTTTTCGGGGGTTACGTCTTTTGTGGTTTCGACACGACCATAGATGATGTGTGTTTTTTTAACCCCTTGACTGTGTGTGATTTCTTTCACAACTGGATTAGAGCCACTTTGTCGTTAACACTGAGACTACCGTATGGACCAACATGACCCATTTCGGAGTTCTACTTTTTTAATTATTGAAAAGATTTAGGTGACTTATCAATTAATTACTACACGTCAGTAATAAATATAAATCTTTCGGTGATCTGATTGCGTCAACATTCACCAGTATTGTAAGCTTAGAGAAGTGGAACATTTTTCAAGAGATAAGTAGTAAATCTTTTTATATGCAATGAATAATAACTTGATTTGTGAGATCAATAATTATTTACATTTCTATTGGATGCATGCAAATTATTATTTATTAGCAACAAAAAATGTATTGACTGTATTTCACAGATTATTTTACCTACATTGAATTATGTGTAAGTAATTGAATGCGATCACTGTTGATATATTAGGGAACATAATATAGTCCAGTCCGTGGTTAATCTTCTTCGCTTGTTGCGGATTTGTCGTGTATTTCTTAACCTTCCGCGGACTGGTGTTGGCAAATAGACGTCCAAGTATAACTGGCGGTCTGAACACGTGATATATAGAGTGAGACAACTAAAACAAGACGGTTGAATAATTCACTTGCTCTTAAACGATGGTAAAAACATACATGAGATCAATCTTGCTTAACTTTAAGGAAGATGTAATAGAATGTGAACAATTTGGCAAAATTCTTTATTTATTATTTATTATTATGAAATGCTTAAATATAAATAATAAAGTAAACATCAATGGACAAAGCCATATTTCGAACCTGCTGCTGGAATCATTTTGACCCAACAGTATCTAATCGTTACTATATTTATATATTTTCTCTATTTATTTCACTAAAGGTGGTAATAAATAATTTCATATATCTTCCTATTTCATTTAGTCAACTTCTTGTCATAATGTGTATTAACGTAAAAAAGGACTCAGAAAAGACGAACATTTATATTTGATACGTTTCTGGATCGTTACAAAATCCAAAAATGTAGTCTACAATAGAATCATATTTTATAAACGAAATAAAAAAGAGAAGATTATGAATGTATCATTAATACAAAGAACTCGACAATTTTTCGAAAATTGTTTGCTTCTTCTCACTACATTAAGGAAACCAGACACGTGCATGTTATTCTAATTCAGACTCAAGGGAGCCACCACACGTACGCTCTTTATAACTTACAGATCCATATCTCTAATTATTTCACTAGTTTCCATATTTAGATAGTTATAATTCTGTTAAAATGTTTCAGTTTCGATTAAAACTTTTAGAGCCATCTTTCAAAACATTAAGCATTATAAAAATATACAGAAATATATACTTTTTGGTTCTAACAAAATAGAATTCCTTTTTTCGCCCGGCGCAGTAGAATGATTCATCATAAATCGCCGTAAAAGGCCATTATTAGAGATAGATTATTGTACATATTTTTCATACAAATTCTAAGACGATAACTTATTTGTTAATACTAGTAGTATAAAATAGTTTATTTTGGGACTGTAATCTATTTTACAAGCCTTTGAATACAACTCCAACGCGTTATAAAAGGCTGCAGACATTTGTGTAGATATACATTTGCATAAATGAAGTTTATAGAAACTGGAATGAAATGAAAGTTTATTTAGTGTGCTCAGTGCTCCAGTTCGAATTAAAAGAACTTCCTTTTTAATGTAGTGAGTTTTATTATAACAGAATAATTATGTTACTTAAGTCTGCAATATTTGAAAACAAATTCGAATATTATTAGGTATGTTTTCAAGAATATATAAGCTTTCAAAAAGTTCTTGTGAATGCTTCTCGTAATATAATATTATGAATTAATATTTCTTTCGCGATCTCCAATTTCAATTACAAATTGAAACCGAGTCTCGGGCGATATAACCTTTGCCAGCAGAAAACAAGGACAACGCACCTGTGTCATGATCTAATTTCCAATTAAGATGTTATTAATACCGTTACCAGAGGAAAACGACCATTATATCTCACGGATTATATTACAATTTACGTTTGAATCTATTCACGTGTAGAAACTCTGCCCATAAGCGGCTAAATTTCTGATATCTCTATTCCGCGTGCGTTTCCACTTTGAATTAAACGAACCTCGGAAATATTCATACAAGCGTGCATTTTAAACAGTAGAAAAGAATAGTTTGTAAACATTTTCGTGGCGTGTTACCAACGAACATTGTAACAGTTTTGTATGCCTACGTGCAGGAACATTCTAAAAGAATATGGTACAGGAACATACTGAAAGAATATGGTGCAGAAATTTCACTAAATTTTGTTGTTGCGTATACTTCTGCAGCCATGAATTTTTCAAACGTAATGACTATGGCCTTAAAGACATATGAACAATAACCAATACTGTGTAAAATATTACCTTAAATAGTAAATAGTGTGTGCGGCTTTAAAATATTTTCATTTGTTCCTAATGTCAAACATATGTTATTTAAAGCATATTGTAAATATTTTTAACTTTATTTTAAGCTTTTCGTACACGATTCAAGGAAAAAATTCTTACGAGAAACATTGAAATATTTAATTGAACGGTGAGAAACATGTTACTAACAACAATAGAAATTATGTAATAGGCTAATATAAAATATAAGTTTTTACAAACTTTACTTAAATTCTTTTTCTAAAATCAGCAATAACATTTACACATACACAACTGATTAAAACAATAAAATATCTTTTACTTGCATTGTTTCAAAATGCCCAAAAGATACGAAAGAACTTAAGAATTGACCTGATACATAGATATCCACGAATTACTGATGGCAAGCACGATACGTAAACGACATTTTGCATTAAATATGTTAAATTGTACAATCAATAGTTGGTGAATAGCGACGTGTAAAGTAAAGCTGTTATTAAAGCCAACCCCTCATCTCCACCGTTCGTTTCGTGGCATTGGACATTTAATAGCGGCGTTAAAAGTCTCTAACCCACATCAATGAACTCACCTGCCAACCCCTGTAAGGTTGTTGTCACCGATCGTTTCGATAAAACTTTTCAGATGTCGAGGGGGGGAAAAAAGGAAAGTTGTCGATGAGCATGTTTACTTAACAAGCGCGAAATTCATGAACACGAACGGTTTACACCGTTACCCTTGGGAGGGCCGAAAGGTGGGAGGAACAGAGAGGATAGGTCGTTTCACACAGCAGCGCCTCGCTTAATTACTAGTTACTAGTAACAGGAGTTAGAAACGTTTAGCTCACAGTTCACGCCATCCAACAAAAGCTTATACCGTTACGACGAACTATTCCCATTGCTGGCTTAGATTCAGCGGTAAGGCTTCACCGGCACTGAGATTCCTGTTACTTCGGAATCATATCATCTGGCGAAACCACCTTCGAGTTAGTAGTTTCCGAACTGTAGCCAGCTTAGTTTACAACATAATTATCCCGGCTGCTAACTTTCAAGTTACGAATTAACAAAATATATCGACGTCGGAATATTATTATGTGTAACACGCAGCCACGCGTCGTAACTTTCGCGAGCGTAACCTGGAAATGTTCGGAACTTGCCTCACGTTTGACTAAGTTCGACGTAAGGAACTTACGTCCACGGAAATGACAAAATTGTCTTGTCGTAAATATTTCGTTAACACCAGATTTACTGAACCCGTCAATTACGGGGATATTCAATTTTACAGAGGTTATTTAGCGAAAGTTTAAAACGATTTTGATTGATACAGTTATTGAATACGTAACCTAATCCTCTGTTCCTGAAACTCTAATTTCTGGGATCTATATGAGTAAACATCTATTTTTTAAGAATTGTATGATCAAATGTAAAACGAACGTCCGTAAGTCTAATATTTGGTGTTTTCGATCATGATTCTCTTCGCTAAGGATCCTTGACATTTTACTGTTTACTGTTAATATCTTGCGAGCACGTAAAGAAATTTTCTATTTATTTTAAGTGCACGTTTACTTTGAAAATAAAATATTGATAATAGCAAGATAGCTTTTCGACCCATATGCAGCGAATAATATTGATTTATAATTATGTATATTAGAAATACTCATTATGAGCCTCATTGTCGGTTGTCACTATACAACAAGGAGTTGGCGCACGTGTCAATACACGGAGCAAAATGATAGAAAAAATTAATTTTAAAAACTAAAGATGCAATTCTTTAACTGTTATTAGTTTACATTTTTGTCCGTATCCACCATTTTTATTACCCTTTTACAATTAAATATACGTTTATCGGTGGTAATTTCGATATACCTGATCCTGCTGCAATACAGTCTCATCCCAAGGGTTACTAATTCTAAATCATTATTATTGCAAGTTGTTTTGAATTATTAATTGCAAAAGGAAAAAATATAAACACCACGCGCTGAAAATAATTGAATTAATATGAACATTGCACTAAGGATAGTCATATATATGTGTACCATACGTATACATAACCACCATAAGTATAATTTTGCATAAAGCCAAAAATATGACAATACAACAAAAAAAGGTCGAACCACTACATTTACAAAAAAATCTTTATAAACGTTTCAAAGATTGGCCTGGGAGTAGGATAAACCGTTATGGCAGATGATAAAATAATCAAGCAATTCCTCTACAAACTAACTGCTATCTTCATTGCTGAAGCGTACGGAATCCTCGAAGCACTGAAATATTCCTACCCGCAGAATCTCATCATACTCACAAATTCTACGAGCGTTATCAAAGCCAAAACAAACCCAAACGAACAATAACAGA